GCAGGTGAAAACAACGAAGGCAGACAGTCACAAAAAAGGAAATGAACAGGAAATAAAACTTGTGACTGTACACAAGAGAAAAAATACAAAAGTAAAACAGGAAACAAGCATTACTAGCTAAACAGTGACATCTAAACAGGAAACCCGAGCCCAGGAGCATCGGTACCGAACCAACACCAGTTTACATGATTGATTTTAAAGACTGTCAGACTTTCTGATTCATGCTGGAGAATCTCAAGCACACACACACACACACACACACACACACACACACACACACACACACACACACACACACACACACACACACACACACACACACACAGTGCACTGTGCCAGAGGGAGACTGCCATGAGCAGCAACATACTTAGTTGCTATTTCTGCCACTGTCACACAGTCACCCGAGGTACAGGGTAATGGGCTTTTGACTCAGAGCCAAATTGGACCATGTCTTGATGTAGTGTGTGTTCGCTGTATGGACAGTATGTATGTGTGCTTCTTTACCCATGAGGATTATTGCAGTTTAATGAATTCTTAAATTGTGGCCCCAATAAAAATGTTTTACAACTAAAATGATGGGGAAAAAACACCTTATTGAAAGCTCTACAGCTTATTAGGGTTACAAAAGCACAGCAGCTTAAGATGCTCTTTGGAGATAAATTAGTACCTCCTACCCACTTGTACAAGTGCACGAGGCTAAAAGCATCTTAAGAAGAAACACCTGCAGCACGAACTGCAACACACGTGGTTCCTTTGGAGGTTTTATTGTTCAGGTTCTTCTTTGTAGCATGTTAATGCTTACTCTTATATAACACCCTCTTTTTGTCTGTATCATGGGGTAATTCTAGTAAAATGGGTAATGTCGGGTAAAAATCAGCTATAAAACAGACCAAAATAATTCAAGCAAAAACACTTTGGTGTGAGTTCAAATTTGTCCAAAGTCTGACTAGCAAAATATAAAGAAATAAGGATTTTCTCAAGACTGTTACACCGCATTGTAACTAATGTGATTACACCATCTGTGATTACAAATCTATATCATCAGGTTATTTTCATAATATATGGATCTATCTGAATTCCATTCACTTTTTTAATAATTGAGAATTTATCATATTGATACTAATATACTGATATATAGTAATATACTGATGCAGAAACATGTTGTGGTAATAGTGTAGTAATAGACCTTCTTTCAGTATATATCTACCTGTGAGCGAAGATGCTTCTGCTATGGGAATGGCGTTAGCCTAAGCTGACAACATCAGACAATGAGATAAAATGAGATTATACTTCATTTATTTACATTTGGGATTTTGTTACAGCTGAATAAACAACAATAAGAAGAAGAAGAATATTATTTGACCATTATTTGCACATCCATCCATTCTCCAAGTTTTTCAAATTCAGCTGATTTTTTTTTTTTAAATATTTTAATTTACTTTTTTAACATAATATATATGTTTCTGAGCTTATGAACTTTTTTTTTCAGTATAACAGCATTTATAAACGTCTGATATACAGAATATGATGCTGGACATTAAACGGAATATAAATTATTTAAATGAGCTCAACTTTGATAATTGGCTTGCCTTCTGTAAAAGTGGCAAAGCAGCTGGTTAAATGTACGGCATTCAATCAACTAATGATTTCTCATAGTTGCTCATCTGAAAGTGCTGGCTAAGCATGCAAGTAGTCAACTTGCCTGTTCTGTTAGACCGGACAGGTTGGAGCTGTTGCGCCCTTTGCATCATTTCCTTGATTGTGTACTAAAGGAGTTAATACCAATTTTTTTTCCGCTCATCTGTTATGATGATAAATCACTAAAGCGCATTTACTTGCTAATGCTAGCTCTATTTCCTCAAAAATCACAGATTGTAACAGATCTCAGAG